TAAACCAAAACAGAAAATTACTTTTTTTTGGTTTGAATTCCTTATTTGCCCTTTTAACAAAATATGTAAAAAGAAAAAACAGAAATAAATTTTTTATATTAATAATGTATTACTATGCGATAAGTCAAGATTATTTTTTGTGTAGTCTTCTACTGGCTGTTATCAGGTATATCTGATTGTGTACAATAGGATTTTGAGCAAAGTTTTTATCATTAAATTATGCAAAAGGTGACAGAGGCAAAACATTTCAGAAACCGTATGTATCAAATACAATACATTTGGCATTATAGGGTTAAAAAGTTTTAAAATGATGGAAAAGTTACCTCCGTAAGGAGAGACATTCTTTTTCTTCTTTTTACATAATTCTTCATCCACTGTGTCCCAGTTTGACAGAAAGGGGTCTGTCAAAAATGATCAGATAAATGCTTTGAAGGATGTAAAGTCTCTGTTGAAAAGTAGATTTTATAACTGGCTTTCATGTAATTAGAAAATCATGGTGTTCACGATTTACAAGTTTGTCATTGGGTGTTTAAAAGTAAATAGTCTTAATGACGCATGGGCGTATATTCAATCAGGAAGACTCACCCAAACATCCCACCTGCCATGTCATCGGTATCCATTTATGCCAACCTTCCTCTGCTCTCCAAGCCTTCTCAGCAGACAATAGCATCCAATACCCTATTTTTAAGCTGCTAATTTTGGTCCTGTCTGCCTTCAAACTAAGCTGAAACCCACCTCCACCCCTTTATCACAGTCTATCACCTTCTTCAGGGGGGTGATAGACTCTATTCTCATAAATCTGCCCATTCCATTATTATCAGCACTACTCAGCTTTATGTCTTCTGTCGGGGTCTGAGGGCAAGAAAAGTTATATTCATTTATGTTAATTAACTCTCTAATTGCGCCTTGTCTCCATGTGATTATCTCTTGGTTGAAAGGGGTTTACAAATCAGAAAAAAAAAATCTACATAATATTTTGTCAAATTAACACATTGATTCATTATGACATGTCTCTGGCTGTTTAGCAAAGCATCTCAAATGCTTTTAAGTTTATGTCTTAGTGTTTTTTTATCTCCACTAGCTTCCTCTCTACACTATTAAGTTCTGTTAATAGATAGTATTTGGTTATAAACCAGGACAGTGCACTGGGAATCGATGTCCCAGAGCCAGATAACAGCCCAGCAGTTTTGCTTTCACAAGCATTATGTTTGTGCCTTAAATTTCCAATTCATACTTATATATGAAACTTTACTGAACATGATTAAGGGATGTTAGATATTCTTAATTGTGTATTTTTATACAGCAGTGGTTTACTTTTTGGAACTCTTAGTTCTTGTCGCACCTCTTTATTGTTGTTGTCTTGTGAACCCTGACCTGAATAGATCACATTAAAACCTGCAGTGCTTCAGATGTTATTTTTGAATTTTTGTCTTTTTTTTTCTGATGGATGAGTCTCACCCTCTGCTGGAGAACCAACGCCAACTCCTGTATCTAGTATTTTTATTTGTCTGATAGAAAAAAGTAGAAAAAAAATCTTTAAGGTTGAAATACTCTTTCCCTTAATTAAAATATTATGTTATTTTGTTCTTAGTCTTTAACATCACCAAAATGGTGAGTCTCCACACTCGTGGCTGCCGGCCTTCACCTTCCTGCAATGCTACAGAGAGGGGAACCCTTCTGACAGCCGGGTACACGGTGACGAGGGATTGCTGCGACACCGACAACTGTAATGGAGCCACATCTGTCCAGCTCTCTCTTGCTGCAGTCCTGGCTTCTGCCATCACAGTTGTTTGGCATTAGTTAACATTTCAGAACAACATAAAAATAGCTCTTTTCTTTATATTCCTTGGATACACAGAAAACTTAATTTTCATAACTCATAATTGTTTAGTATGTTTATAATGTAAAAAAAACATTTTGAGATTTTGATTCAGCAAAGAAATAACTTTTATTTTGCAAATTATTTTTTGATAAAATAAAAGTTGACTGAGTTGAAGTTTTCCTTTCATTGAATATTTGTATCTGGTGAAGTGGTTAAACAATAAAGTATGTGTTGGGAATTTCTACCCCCTGATGTAATATACTGTAACCCAATAGACCTGTTTCTATCTAACAATGAATGTACGTATATTATAATGACAATATTAATTCTCAACATGAAACCCTTGGCCACTTATTCTTATAAAACCCATAGTATACTCCAGTTTTATTCATTTGTTCTTTGTAGTCGGGTTTTACCCGCAGTAAAAAATATGCATATTAAATCAAGGGGTTAATTTGGTTCAGATGGTTTGTTGTTTGTCTTATTTCTCTCTTTGTTGGTCCTGTTATTAACTTCTTAAGAATTCAGAATATACTTTTTCTCCTGTCATCAGACAAATTACAATAACTATCATTTATCATCACAACTTTTTAATTGGAGATGCTTCTATCTTGACCTTAGTAGTGCTTTGCAGCTATTCAGTTCTGTAAATGTTAAAGAGATAAAGCAAAAGAAAGATAACTAACTCCAACAACAGCAGTTTGACATATAAAATATACAAAAACTACTGCAAGTTATTGCTGCTAGATATGCTGTGAACATTAAAGGGATCAAATATAAAAACTTTATTTTGAAGAAAAAGTTGTAAAAGAGGTTATGAATGAATAAATATGGTGACAATAACATATTAATTTGTTTTGTTTAAAGACTGTATCTTCCTGGACTAACTTTATAACAAACTAATTAAATCAGAAGTTTTGATATATTAGTTTATGAGGAAGTATCTTTTTATGGTTATTTCAGAGTTCAGTGGAACAGGGGCAGTAATCCTGCACACTTGGAGCTGCATAGACGCTGACCTGTGTGGAGCGATCCTAGCCTCATTGATGCTCTTTACACCAGCAACATTACTTGCTACAACACCAACCTGTGCAACTGAGCCTCTTCTGCCAGCTGCCTATGACTGTGGCTCTTTGTGCTTCTATCCTCTCATCACCTTGGTGCTTCTTGAAGTTTCAGTCAGACATAATTTCCATCATTGCTCCAAGCTGTTCCTAAATGATGCTGCGTCTGTACAATAATAATCTATCCTTTAGATAAAGCTGCACATATGTTTATTACTGTAAAAATCAATTGAAACTGTTAAATAAACTTGTTTTTTTTTTCAAAGACACTAAAACTGTTAAATACACTATAATACAGTGTTAAATACACTATAATACAATAGTAAAGAGAATTGGTCCAAGCACTGATCCCTGTGGTACTCAACAGGTAACCCTTGAGCATGAGTAAGATTTATCATTAATGTGAACAAACTGAAATTAATCAGATAAATGCGATTTAAACCCTGCTAGTGCTGTTCCTTTAATTCCTACAAAATATTAAAATCTTCCTAAAAAATATCGTGATCAGCTGTGTAAAATGCATAATCTTGCAATGTTATTTTCATGCTTAAAAGTTTTCATGCTCATATTATGATAAAAAAAACTGTTTTCAGTCCAGCTTGTGTTTTAGAATAGAAACATTGGTAGAGGACCTACAAGTTAAAACAAATATTTTGTGTCACTAACAAAATCCACAAAAAAATACATTTTTTATAGATCACCATTTATTAGGTCACTGTTTCTGATTTTATTCTGTCAGTCTCTTGAAAGTACAGATAGGTTTTGTTGTAAAAAAAAAAATATATATAATTATGTAAAACTGAAATGTTGCTGTTTTTCTCAAAATGCTAGCTCTTTAAACCGCAAATATATACCTTCTTTTACACCTTAAAAAAAAGATATATTGAAAAGTGTTTTGGGGTTTTGTTTTAGTGGTGTTAATCCAACTAGCTTCTACACAACCAAAATATCCCCAAACCATAAAACTTCCACTCCTCCACTATACTTCTGTCAAGGTAGTGTGGAGGTTGCTTGAGGACCCAAATGCAGAGATGAGCAGCCAGAGATGAGTTTTGGTGATTTACTGAAGACGGCTACAGAAACACAAATCCAGGAACAAGATACAGAAAACCATAAATCAGGAGATGCTGTGGAAAAACACACAAGTACCGACAAGAAACCAGCAATGAGGAACTGCACAAGAGGTGTATATATACGGGCCAAAACAAAGCATTGGCTAATCAGCTGGTATGGAGCAGGTGTTAATAGAAGTAACTAGAAGGCTAGGGGAAATACGACTGGCACAAGGGGGCAACAAAAAGTATCTCAGAAAATGAAACACTGCTTAAACATTACACAAAATGAAAAAGATATTAATGACCAAAAAAAAAGAATGACACAAATAAATGCAAACTCAAAAAGAAGCCCAAAGGTAAAGAACCATAACAGCTTCACAGTAGGTATGATTTTTATTAAATTTTTTTTCTTTCTATTTGTTATCCTTTATTAGTTTTTGTCAAAAATCCCCCGTTTTGTTGTCGCAATCATCCATTTATTTACTTATCTGTCCGTAACAACATTTTCTGCAATAATCTGTATCTTGATCTCTGACATCTGGCAATCCTCAGTTTGATACTCGTGTTTTTTCGTGAAGAGCAAATGTTTACTTCTTAAATACCTCAAATTAATGCAAAACTTTTTTTTTTTCATTTATAAGCAATTGCAATTTCATAGCAACTGAAGTAACAGCCTTTCCTAGGTTCCATGGTAACATTTGAGGATTTTATAGACTTTTTTGTTTCTTACAGACTCATTTCTGCATAATCTTGTTTAGATGATTTTGTTTTAAAACTTGATAAGCATTTCATGATTCTGTAATGTTGTTTTTTTTCTGCCATCTTGACAAAGTGTTAAAATATAAAATAGCTTTCTAAACGTCTTTCACAACATTAATTAATTTAAGGCTGCACAGGTTTTTGTTGGGTATATAAAGTATTGTGTAAAACAATAAGTTTTCTTGAAACAGGGTATTTTGAGGTGGCGACATATTTCTTTTTTTGTCATGAAACTTCCTCATCACTCTTGTCAAAGGAGAAAAACCTGATTGGCCTCTTTTCTTATCGGTCACTCTTTGCTTGTGTCTCATTCTCAGTTGTGCCTTGCTTCACTTGAACCCACACAGCCTCGAATCTAAACGTAGAAGCTGTTTGTTATTACAGTGGTTAATATAAGCCTGGGAACAATGACTCTTATTTGGAAAGCAATAATTGGTCTCAGCGCCTTGATCGTTGCAGGTGAGTTCAAAGAAATATTTCAATAAATCCACAGAAATATCTCTCTGTGTTGAAGATTCATTACTGAGTTTTTTTTTTTTTTATTAATCAGTATTTTTTTTATAAATTTCTTTAGTGAAAGCTAAATTTCTCTCTGACCTTTTGATTATTGTACTTAATGGCTAATTGTCACAGCTGTAACCCATTCAGCAGAAATCTGTAAAACATATACAGTATGTTCCCTGTTCAAAAGACATTTTGACCATTTTCAGTGCCTTTTAGACAGAGATTATTTAAGAGAGACGGAAAAAAAAAAATCCTTAAAAGAGATACCCTATAACTTCGTCTTTTTTGTCTGTTTTTTTCCACTCAACAGCAAGCTGCTTGGACTGTCGCCAATGTCCAGTTGGTGTATTTGGAAGCTGCTTTTTTGGGGATGACCTCACATGTAGCAATGGAACAGAGAGCTGTTATACTGGAGAAGCACGTAAGATAAAACTTAAAATCAGTGTTACAATCTAACGATGACATGTTTACTCAAGTGGGAGGAGAAAAAAAAACAAGATACCAGCAGCTTAGAGCTGTTGTTGGAGCAGAAGTCCAGAAGTGGACCAAGTAAATCTGATAGCCCTTAAAGTCGTACGGAAGTTATATTTAAATGTCAAGTCATTCTGGCTTAAACATGTATATAAATGTACTCTTGTTCAGACCATATTGTCCCAAAAGTTAGAAAATTTCTATAAAAAAAAAAAAATTCCAGTCTTAAAATCTGTGGGGTTTTCTGTTATCTTATGAAGGCCAGTTAGTTATACGTCAGCCTGTACACCTAAATGCAGCCAATTATATATCAGTGGTCATCTGTCAATCAATAAAATTTTCAGTCATAGCATCTTGATTCATATGTCGCAGCTAATATACCCAACTATCCCGCCCCCTTGATAAACGACCAATGGCATTCACTTTATTCACTCGTGTAAAGTCAGGCACCACTTGGAAGAATTCAGAAATGTAACGGTTGGAACAGCTGCTTCCCTACAAGCTTACAGTTAATGAGTTGATAATGTTGGTTTATATTTTATATTATTTTAGTGCAAAACACATAAAGGGAAAGATCAAAGCAAAACAAGGATTTGCATGCCTGTAAATTAAGGTGTGAAAAAAAAAATTGCTGCTAATTATCAATTCCAACATTTATAACGGCAGCATATAGTCACGTTGCCGGCCTGGTTTATGAAAAGGTGAGATATGAGGTTAGGGATATCTTTAGAGAAACAATTCTTGCTGCTCATCTGAAGTAGAGACCATTTCCAAACAATCTAAAATCTTCTGTGAGATTTTCCTAGTGTATTGTATACTTTGAAACAGTGGACGTCTTGGCAATTTGCTACAGTATACTTTCACATTCCTCAGGCCACAGTTAGCACAATTGACAGAACAGTTTGAAGAAAGACTAAAGCATTTTCTTTGGAACAGATGTCATGTCAAAAGAAAATCTTTCCCCCAGCATTTATTTTTAGCTTTGTACAGCTAAACCTAAGAATTGTAAACTGATTACAGTCTTGAATAATGTTCTTTGTACATATTTTGGCAATTTAGAGATGTTTGGGTGTAAAAAAGAAGCTTCAACCAATGTTACTTAGCACCTCATACCAACTATCAGCTACTGGGATTGGGGCTACAGGACCTCGCACCTTGCAGTTATTCAACACGTATACCAGGGTCATTTGCAAGGTCATCTGTTCGGCAGCTCTAGCTTAACTGAGTCATTAAATAAAAATAAATAGTTTCAATATTTAAGTCAAAGTTTAGAATGTTATCCCACTATAATATTTTCTTACTGTAGGCTCTGCTTGGCAGTAATTAATTCCTGATAATGCCAAAGAAATGATGCAACAAAGATAACCAAAACTCCTACAACAACAAGCTGACTAATTACATTTTTACTGATGGTATGAAGTATAAAAATGACTACTGAAAGTTAAAGCTGATAAATATGTAGCGAACAATAAAGGGAAATGGTCGTAAATCAAATCAAGTTTTTTTTTTTTTCCTGGTCTAGTTTAATTAACTTATCACAGGACAACAACTAGGTAATACAGAAAAGTCTTTCATAAGAGGCCTGGACATCTTTAACCTGATTTTCTGTTTGTGGTTATTTCAGAGTTCAATGCTACGGGGGCGGTGACCCTGCACACTAGGGGCTGCATAGACTCGGACCTGTGTGGAGTGACCCTAACTGGATTCCTGTTTGGTGCTGCTTACACCAGCACCTTTACTTGTTGCACAACAGACCTGTGCAACAGCGCCTCTTCTGTCCAGCTGTCTCTGACTGTGGCCCTTTGTGCTGCCATCCTGTCATCACTGTGGGGCTTCTGGGAAATTTAGTCAGACATGATGTCCATCATTGCTCCAAGATGATTCTAACTAATGCTGAGCCTGTGCTATGATCATTTATCCATTAGATAAAGGTATAAATATACAAATACGTTTATTGCTGTAAAAATCAATAAAAGCTTTGACATGAACCGTTTTGGATTTTCTCTCAAAAACAGAGAAGCATGCATTTAAACAGCCTAGCAGAATATTTGCCAACTGCATATTTGAATAAGATCTGATATTGTTACATTGCACATGTTTAACATAAATGTTATGGCATAAATGCTTAAAAATAGGGTCAAGCCAGTTATTCGTTTTTGCAGAAATTCTAGTAACAAAACAGATATAGAGAGATTTTTGGAGTCTGTTGAATTTATGAGATTTCCATATTTAAAAGGAAAAAAAAAAGTTATCAGCAAACTGGACCTAAGTTTAAACAAAAACAATTAAAAATATAAATAAGGTCATAATACAAAATTAAATAATAATCTAAAATGTACAAGAATATTATACAAGTTAGAGATTAACTATTTCGCTCATCTACAAATAATCAAATAATGATAAAATGGACTTTAGATTTTAAAAAGTCAAACTTTAACAATATTTTAAAATTCAACGAGAAAAGCCTTATTAAACAAACTTTTTTACCTTTATCATACATTGCAGGCAAATATTTCTTTAGTATGTATTAGATTATTTAATATTTTCTTATTATCACTATTGAGAGTATGATGAAATAATAGCATATTATTATTATGTTTTTATTATTATTATATTATACATATCTTAGTCACTACAAACTCCACCTAATATAATTTAAGTTATTTGATTATGTATTTTTTTCTAAATCTAAACAACATTTTTGATAATCAGACATGGGAAGGGTGAGACAGTTGGTAGAATAAAGTATTAAAGTATTCTATGGTTAAAGGTGATATGACTTTGTTAGGTTAATTAATCAGTTGGTTTGATCAGTCACAGTTCAATAATGTAAATATTTGATCCTGAATGCTACCATGTGAAAAATATAAAATATATATATAGAGATATTTGATTCAAACTCTTGCAGAGTTTCGAATAACCTTTTTGTGCATTTTAACACTCTTAAGAGATCTTTGACAAGCTTAAAGTTCTCCTTTACTATCAGAAAGATAACAACCAAATGCATCAATAATTTAGCGTAAGAGGCCTAAAAGGTGCAGAAAACCAGAGAATTTAGTTAAACTATTTAATTTTAAAGCATGAAAATATAAGCCAGTAATTTGCCCAGAATATATGTTAGTATCATCAATAGTCATTTGAAGTTTTAACTTTTCTAAGACAATAAAGCTTTCTGTCCCAACTTGGTGAATTTATTTCTGATCACCCAAGCTTTCAGTATGTTCTCCTCTTGATATTAATCAACAGTCTATTGTTTTCACCTTATCTTCTGATAAAACAGGTTGAACTGCTCTGGCTACAAGTTATTTTGAAACCAATGATGCCCTCTGGTGGATCAGATGCACACTATGTTGTGTTGGTCTCTTCAATACTAAAGACAATCACAGTGTATTCTTCAAATGTGTGAAAAAAAATATTTTATTTGGTATTCTTAAAAGAGGCTTTGGTTTAAATGATAGTAGAATACACAAAAATGTATTAAATACCCCCCCTACACACACACACCCACACACACACACTTAATACACACTTAAAATAAGACAATGAAATTGAGTTTTTCTTATATTAAATGTACGGTAAATTATCTTGTTCCATCAGCAAAGTGTCTCACTTATCTCCTTAATTCAAGAAAAAAAATCACTTATTTTAAGAAACAAAATGACTTACTTATATTTCAATATTTTGCAGTGTCTCTGGCCAATGACATCATCGTTACAGAGGCCAGACACACCTTGATTAATCAGTCCAGTACTGAAAGACAGGAAACAAATGAGCTGGCTGAAGTTCAGGAAATAGTGGAGTTGAACATATAACCCGAGAATCTGTTGTCATCATGAAGCCATAATGAAGCAATATTGAGATGCATATTCTTTCTTATCCCCTGCTCAGGATGAAAACATAACTAGCAAAAAGAAATCAAAAGCAGTTATAGATAAGGATAAGCATGTGCAGAAGACCCCATTGGAAATAAAAAGAAAAGCTTAAAATATAAAATTCTTAGACTAGTTGTGCTCTTTGGTGACATATAGAATATATCCAACAAAGAATATATCCAAGAGTCCAGCTAACAACTCTCTGTTGAACCAATAGCTACAACAAACATCCTTATAAAACAGCCTTTTTGTTTCAGCAATAGTTATCCATAAAGAGTAGAGCATGCATGTAACACAGTTTACATCAAAAAGCAAAGTAAGAAATATTCCCATAAGCTTTCTAGATAATGAAAAACTGAGAGATTCAGTTGGGTTGAAAAATGTTTCATTGTGTACAAGAATTTCCAGAAAATACAATTTCCTCTGACTGATGAGCTGGATTATGTTAGTACCATTCCAATAAAGTAAAAAATAAATAAAATAAAAATAATAAAAACCCTGGACTTGGTATCCAAGTTTGAAAACAATTCACTTCCCATCCAGGAAGCTTTTTCAGTTCAAAATCTCAGGATTAGCATTGAGTTTGAAGCTTTATACAGAAGCCCAAAAACTTGCTTTGACTTAGAAAACATGCAACTTGAACCAGAGAAGATGGTTCCTATAATCTGCAAGTTTCTTAAGCAATTACTCATACTTGTGCATTATTCCGAGGGTGTCTTTCCTAAAATGGAGTGCAATATGCTGTTGAAGATTCTCAGACATCCAGGTCATAGTCAATTTCTTCTGACTGCAGAGCAGAATTACTACCAGTACACAGTAGGAATGCACCAATCTACATGGTTTTACTTTAAATCCGATTCCAATACTTCCATTTAGATATCTGCAAATCCTGATACTTTTCTATACCAGCGCTCTGTTTAGTGTAATGTTATCATCATTAAAGTTGATCCTTGAGAGGCTGTCCTAAACTCCTCCATTAATGAGATTAGTACAAGGTCAGAAAAGAAGGTCATAAAAACAGTAAACAAATTCAGTCCTAAGAACAAATATGCACTGTAAGGGTTCAAATTCACTGTATTAATAAATCAAACAGAGATAAAGTGGAAAACTTTTCTGCTATTCAGCAGAAATAGGCTGAATAGCATGGATAGATGACACCCAGTCAAGGCTCTCTTTTCAGTATTAGTTAGTTATTATTGCTAGATACAGATTGAAATATTGAATCTGTGTATCTCTGTCTATCTTCCTGCTGCAGGTCCATCAGGTTCTGCAACAGCTTTTTCCCTGCTACTAGGCTGTTGAACTGTTAAAAATTCTAATTAAGTCACTCTGTATGACACTTGAAAACATCATATTTGCACTACATGGCTGTTTTTTTCATAATCCCCATAAATAGAACACAACTCAATGTCTGCTGCATTTTGCATCACATGTACTGTATTTATTTTGCACCCCACTGAACCTTCCCATATCAATGCCTTTTGCACCATGACTTTAAACTGGTTTTCCTTTTCTCCAACACTGTTTACATTGTTGATCACTCACTTTATAAATGGTAATGTTCAATTAACTGTTGAAAAGCTGTATGCATCCAAATTTCATTTGTATACCCTGTGTATACAAAATGACAATAAAGTTTGTCTAAGTCTAGTGCAAAGCAGAACTCGTTCAATACTGGAGTCAGAAGAATGTCAATTATCAAGACTGAAATTGAGATGAGGATGGACAGCAGAAGACTTGTACAAAAATATTTTCTTTGATGAATCATCATAATTGTTCGGAGCATCTAGTAAAGATATACATTACTATAAATCCAATGTAATCAATAGGGACACATGCCTCTTAAACAAAGTTGGGTAGAATGCCCAAAGATGTTACACACTCTGAAGTCCTTTTTTAGTCTAAAGAATATATTCTAAAATTCCAACATAACATCAAAGCTGCACAAATTTATGTTGTTTGAATATAGGAATGTGTGAGACTTTCGGTTTCATTAAAGCAAGGTATTTTTGGGTGGGGTTGTTTTCTTTAATGGAAAGAAGGTAAAGAAGCAAAACGTGGTTGGTCTCTTCCTTATAAGTCACTATTTTATTGTTGCCCCATTTGGCGTGCCTTGTTTTACTTTAGCTAAGACATACTAGAATCTGAACGTGTTATACATTTCCGCCTATATAGATTCCCCTTTTTATAAACCTGCCAAAAATGAATTCCATCCTGAAATCCGCAATTGGTCTCAGCATCCTGATTGTTGCAGGTAAGTTCAAACAAACATCTATTTCAATACACAGAATTTTTTTTCTGCTTTTAAGATTTTTTTATTCCTTTTTTAATTAATTATTTTAACTAAATACTACCTACTTTTGTTTTCTGTTGCCGTATTGTTTAAATAAGGAGTAACATTCATGATTTTACCATTAAAAAATATTAACTTTTGGTCGAAATCAGTGAAAATGGCTCATTCTGTTTCCTCTACTCTAATGTTTTTTGAAGTCAAAATTTGCAAAAGAATTCAACTTTTCAAAATACTTTTGGTACATTTTCAGTAGAGAGATTATTTGAGAGGGATTAAAACAATAAGGTCTTTCCATTTTATATTCCCAAACTTCATACTAAGAGCTTGTGCTGACTTGTTCTCCATTTCGGAACAAATATTTTGCTACAAATAATTATAGGTATGGACAAAAATGTGTAAGTCTAAATGGAAAATGAGAGGCCTCCATGAGATACACTTAACATTTTGGAACTTTTTTTTCCATTCAACAGCAAACTGCCTGGACTGCAAACAATGCAAGATTGGTGTACTTGGAATCTGCTTTTTTGGGAATGACGTCTCATGTAGCAGTTCAACAGAGAGTTGTTATACTGGACAAGCACGTAAGAGAAATCAGTGTTCCTATCTGATGATGATATGTTTACTCAAGTGGGAGGAGAAATACAAAAGGTACCAGCAGCTTAGACCTGTTGATTAGAGCAGAAGTGGAGAAGTAGGTCAAGAAGATCTTATACCCCAAACTTCATACAGTTAATGAGTAAATGATGTTTGTTCTTAGATTATCTCTGTGCAAAACAAATAAAGGGAAAGATCGAAGCAAAAGAGAGTTTCCATGACT